GTATTCATGTTGAAGAGATACCCCATCTACGGGTGTCCCACCCACCTGTTCAGCCTCACATTTCCACCCTAGTCTGCTCCTACTATGTTCATTGCACCCCTGCGGTCCCTCCTCCACCGCTGGAAGAGGGCAAAAGTCCATCTGCAGGTTTGGTCTGAAAAAACAGAAAAACTCACTATTTCCAGTACAGTATGGCATACACTTTCTAGGTCTGGAACTAACATGCCTAACTTATCCTCACCCCATCTATTTGCAAGCTTTAAAAGTACAAAGAATTGAGGGAGCCAAGGCAGGTTGATAATACTACTATGCAAACAAACATTCCAAGAGAGAGCTATGGAGCTGCATCTTTGTCTTGTGGAGCCAAAGAAATAGCTTTGTTGGCCCCATGGTTCTTTTCTGACAGTACAGTAAGTGCAGTGCCAGCCATGTGCAAGCCCGATAGAGGCAGGTGAGCCATTTAGAATAGCAGGTGCACAAGAGCAGGTGCTGCCATTTAGAATATCCAGGGACAACTCTTTACCTAGGAAAGGAAGGGATGGGCAGGTTGCGTGTTTCCCACGAACTGAGAAATATTTTTAATTTATTCTGTGAAGTGAGGCCACAAAGGACACATACCATGGTGTCCCTGATAGCTGGTCTATTCTTATGGAATTGTTTCTGTTTGGAGACTTGGCAAAGCTGCGTGTTGAGCATCGTCCAGAAGCACTGTAAAGCCTGGAGCTAAGCACACTGAACTTAGAAATGGAGAGCAGGCATTAATTGGCACGTAAATAATGTGGTTGACTTGTGATGTAAGTTACTGTTCTGATAAAGCTATGTTATAGTATGAAATTTCGGCTTTTTGGTTTTCTGTATTTTGCTCTAGCCTTTGGCATTTTGTGCTATTTTGATAGCTATTAATAATAATGCAATAGAATAGAATAATCAAGCACTTAGCTTTAATAATACAATATCTCCCGGAATGAAATATTAAATCTTTTCTGGAAGATGGTCAGGCATAGACTTTGGCACACTCCCCAGAGAAAGAAAAGCTAGGCCTAGTGAGCATCCTATCAAGGGAATAGTGAATGAAAAACAGAAATTGTAGGTGGATCCCAGCCTTCAGTGCATGTAACATATGAGAGATCTGAGACTTCCTTTGTCACAAAAACCCTTTTGATTCTAACCATATTTATTCAGAAGAAATAGCCATTGAGTTCTACCTGTCTTCAAGGAAAGTAGATTTAGAACTGAATTCTGAACTCTTAGCTACTCAGCATTTCTTTATAAGCAATACTTAAGAATTTTATTCTGCAAGCTTTACCTGCTTTAACACTGGTTTCATCTCAGTTCCAGTCTCACTGATGTCAGTGAAAAGTAGCGCTATGCAGTTCCATCCAAACAAGGAATATGAAGACCTTGCATAGCTATATTTGAGACATCTGATTTAAGGAGGGGCTGGATTTCTTGCTGGATAAGCAGTTTACCTTTTAAAAATATCCTTTCATTCTAATTGACACACAGTTGTTATTATGTAGACATGATATTTTAATATTTCACAAAGAGAAAGTCAGCATAAGACTGTGTGATTAATCTGCTAATGAATGATTAGGCAACAAGCTGCTTTGTGAAGATAGATTTAGTACAATGAATGACACTCAAATCCTGATTTTGCAGAAAGAAAGTTCTGCTCTCAAGATAATCATTTACTAGTAATATGTCTTACTGGCTAACTATAAAATTATAATGTGTGCATTAAGTAAAATATCCGTCATATGCTCTGCTGATCCATTTGCAAAAATGCACTGAGTAGCAGCTATAGATAAAGATGATGGTTACAGAAAAATGGCAGCACATTTGCAGCAAGAAATTTTAAATGTTCTCCTCATTCACTTTAAAATATATTAAATTAACATACACATAAGGCATATTTTGTGAATCATTTTGTTTTGTTCTAATCACTCATTCAGATTCTATAATTGATAATGTTAACCCACTTTGGCTTATAGCTTTTGTAAAAAAGAAAAACTTGGATTGTACATTTCTACTTCGAATTATACTATCCTTTTCGGATGAAAAATAAAACTGCCACTTTCATACTGTCCTTGTACAAAACTGTTGTCCAAGCACACATGAAATACTTTGGTTAACTGCCCAGAGAACCTCTGCTACTGGGCAGTATAAAAATGAAATAAATAATACTGCTTTCAGTTTTGGTAACTACACCTAAAAAAGGGTACAGTAGAGTTGGAAAAAGTGCTGAAAAGGGCAACTAAAGTAATCAAGAGGATGGAGTGGTTTCATTATAAAATCTGTGTCTGTCTGGCTTCAAAGGGTGGAGTGGAGAAAGTTAATAAGGTGGTACCCCTCCCTCCCTCAGCAGAACCTGGAGTTACCCCATGTAGCTTGTAGCTTCCAGCCAGGGCCCGAGCACAGCTGTGAGTGAGTGGGGCAGCTGATTCATGAGTCAGCCAGCCCACCGCTGTGGGCTGAAAGGGCTAATGATTGAGATGGAGAGTGGTGGAGATGGGATGGGTTGGCCAACTCACAAGGGATTCAACTCCATCCCAACCCACCTGCCCCACACCAGCCTGCAAACCCTCCTAGCTCACTGTAGCAGCACATGGAAGATCATTTTATTTATTATTTATTTATTTAAACAACTTATATGCCGCCCCATTGCATGAGCCTTGTCGTGGCTTACAATCATAAAATCCCGCATAAAATACAAAAAAAAAACATCAAATAATTAAAATACATAAAATAAAATAGTGGACACAGCCTGGTCAATTTGAAATCAACAAATATACCATTAATAGTTAAAATAGCATTTAATTAAAAAGGTCTTGTACTTAAATAAAAAGGTCAAGTACAGTTGGTTGTACTTATTGGCTAGCTGCTTGACAAAGAGTGGCAAGGGGATTTTGCCATTCTTGCCAAACAGCTCAGAATGGGTTGTGTAGTCTCGATTTGTGCATCATAACAATCCATTTTATGTCAGACAACCTATTCAAGAAGCAATTGGTCTTACCATGATTGGCATCCACAATAAGAATCAGTGGTTAGCAACTGGAATTTGTTTTGCATGACAAACCAGTGGCGCTTGATAAAAAGTTCCCTTTGGTCTCTTACAAACTCAGCCACTATCTGATTTACCTAAAGCCATCATATGTCACAAATTACAAATCAATCTGGTAACAACTGAAGTTTCAGTTTTTCTGGAAATATTGTATTTTTAAGTGTGAACTGTGGCATAGTCTTTAACTTTGTTTTCCTGCTGCTGAACAAGCACTCTGCTTTGGGTATTTTTTCAGAATTATTTTTGTGCAAACTGTTGTTGATTTTGCCTGCTCAGCTATGAACCTTGTCAAATGTCTGATGGGGCCTGAGAAGCCCGTTCTTTAAGTATTATTTCCAGATCATTCTTTTTGAAATTGAAAATCAAACTAAAGCCAGGCTTTGTCACCTCTATTTGCTTCATGGTGTTGATCATACACAGAAAGTGAACCAATTTTTTCATGTTTCAAAGTACAGCCAAGGGAAAAGAATAAGCTAATCTCCAAGGGAAAATATGCTATATCTGTGCAAGAGCTAAAAATTAAATTAGTAAATCAATCATAAACCTGAGACAGTGATTTACTATTAGTGCTTGTATTCTTAGGGGGAAATAAATCTTTGCTGCTGGAATTGTTGCTAAGCCAGTTAGCAATTTTTTTAAGATGGCCAGACACACTTCCTGAACAAAATGCTGCAGTATAGCTCAAAGGTGGATTCCAGGTCAGTTAGATGCATGTGATTATACAGCTGTTTCACATTTTGCATCTTAGATTTACTATTACTAGATTGGGGCCGTCAATGAATTTAGGTGTAGGAAAATCTACTCTTTCAAAGCTAAATTCTCACTGCCCAAATGCTCAGTTCTCCCCCTTCCTCCCTTCATGAAATTGAGCAGCTATTGAGTAGGAAGGCGTCCCAGTATAATTAGGTAGGATTCAATGCCTTTATCTAGTGCCCTACCTGTGCACCAGGTATTTCTCCACCATGGTATGTGCTTAGAAATCTTAGTCATATAGTGTGTTACTTTTTTTCTTGAGTTGTGGGTTTTCTTTAACAAAATTCATACAATTTAGAATTTCCCCATGATATATAAAGAATATCTGCAAAGGTAAAGCTTTTTTGTGCAGCTCTGACACTTCAGAGTTGTTCTGTTTCATTTTGTGTATTAGGAGGTTGTTCTATTTTCACTTGTTTCCAAAGCTACTCAACATTATTCAGGTTCTGTCTGAGATTGAAGAATCCTAATGAATAATGCCTAAATACTGTCACAAAGGATACTTTGTCATTTTTAGCAGCTGTTTATAAATGCAATAAAAGCCTTTGCAGCTGATAAAACACATAAACTAATGGTTGAATGACATTTGCGTTTCTTGAAAAATGCTTAACATGTGTGATAACGTAAAGTGCTTACTCTTTACACACAGCCAATTAATCAGTTTCAAACAAGTTTATAAGCTGAAATTAAAGCTCTGCAACAAATGCCGTAAAGTCTATTTTATAGTTTGCTTTAGCTCCTTATATTAATTTTCATTTACAAAACATTTTATAATTCTAATTAAATAAAATGCCAACACAGTATTTTAAATTAATCAGGAATATTCTCAAATATAATGTGAATCTCTGCTACCAACTTGGGATAATGATTTTTAAAATCTTTTAACTGTGAAATACAACATCTAATAAAGGTAATCCCAAGTATAGAAACAAGATTCATTCTAAAATTGATTTGCTTTTCCATTTAATAAATAAATATTTTAAAGGGCTATTAATACATAGCAAATACTTTTAGATTTCATAATTTTTATTAATACAGAATATGGCCCTTCAATATATGCTTATGATGACCACCAACTACTAAAAAATCAATGTGCTACATGTTTTAAGGAGATATTTGTATAAATAGATTGTTTGTATTATAAACTTATTTTAAGTATTGTTGGAATGATTGTTGTTGCTTTTAGGTGCAATTGAGAACTAGTCTTTCAAGCCAGTATGTCATCCGAACACAGCCAACAAATATGTGCCTGTCCACACTTGAATGTGCAGCCATTGCCCTTGCCATCATGGAAAAAAATGATAGCATTAAAGAGGTAAGTAATTTTAAAGTCATTTAGTCTGCTAATGGAATAATAGGGTGAGAGCAGTATTTATCAGCTAAGGACCAAATCCTATTTTAAAAATAATCCTGTTAATTTCAAAATTACAATTGATTACCTTCAGGAAATTTTAACAGAAGGAAGAAGCAATGTTTTCCTAAGATTCTTACCCTTCCTTCTATATCCTATTTTGACAACACTTCAATGTAGGTTAAGAAATACTTTTGCAACTCCTCTTTTATCATGGCATACTTCATCCCTGTGAGAGAAGTTCCTCTTCACAATGCATGCTGTTCTTCCAGTGTGGCAGAAACTTCAGCTGCTGTGAAATCTGTTTTCTTGGCTTCTAGTGGTAATTGCTTTGTAGTCGCTGTGCATCTCACACACACACACACACACACACACACACACACACACACACACACGTACGTGCTCTGCACTTGTGCAGATGTTAATTCAGGAAACTTTTCCAGCAGGAACCATTGCCCTGCTGTCCTGATGCACATGTCTTTAGCTGGCTCCTGGCTGTTCCCCCAGTCCCTCTTTGCCTGCCATTGTGGCTGTGGCTGTCTTATAAAAACCTTCTCTCATTGTTAATGACATTTGTTGGCCGAGGTTACTTCCTTTCTTATGTCTATTCTTTTCTATCTCCCTTCTTTCCTTGCTGGTATTTCTCTTTATTTTTTTCTTTATTTGTGGTCACCGGATCACACATTCCTTTGCAAAGGTGTATGGCCCTCAATGTCCCATTTTGTAAATCTGTGAGATGTGGCAATTGACTGGCATTTTTTGTGTTTCATCTGTCTTGGAGAGGGCTGCATTGTAGATACTGCCCACGCTGCCATTCCTCTATAAAGTGGGCCAGGTATAAGCAATCTAACAAGTTCCGAGTGGTCCTTTGGAAGATAGCCCTAAGTGCTGCAAACACACCGAAGTTATCACACCACTAACATTGCATCTCCATGCGGTGTTCTGCTGTTTCTCTGGGACTGTTGAACCATCGGCACCACTGCACTGTTCTGGCAGCTTTTAGGTTGGCTGCTTCTCTGAGTCAAGCCATAGGATGCAACCACCACAGACCGGGGAGATCTCTGACAATTACAGCATTGAAGAAGCTTTCAAAAAGGCCTTGGTCATCCAAGTCAGACCTTACAAAGAAAAAGAAGTTCTCATATTTAACGAGGTGTTCTACAAATTGGCTCTTGTTGCATAATCTGACAATATTCCAAACACATGACATATTGAATGTTCACTTTTGGATTCGTATGATATAATGAGTGAGGCTTGGTAAAAATATGACACATATCTGGTAAAAAGTAAATACTGCTCAGGAACCCTCTGAACAAATATGAATATTGTGCACATCCCAGTAGGATGATTTCTTTCTTTCTTGTTTTTTTTTTTAAAGAACTTAAAAGACAGTAGTTTTTGATAGAACTAGCAGTGACTTGAGTGTCAAAAAATGTAATATTAGTCCCATTCTTGTAAAAGCAAGTGCTCAGCTTATTATAAATACCTAAGCATTTAGACCAGAAATGCCAATGCAAACAAAACCCTAGAGGCATGAATAATGCTACCAGTGTATACATGTCGGTCTAGGATAGATTCTACTTGCCATGTTGCTTGAACATATGCATGAATTCAGTGGGGGCAGAGTGGAGAACTCAATCTGAGTAACGAACTACAATCTGGACACAACTGCCAGTACCCCTGACTATTCGTTGCACTGACTGGGGCCAATCAGAGTTGGCATTCAACAATATCTGGAGCATTACAGGGGGGGCACCTCTACTTTAAAATGAATCACAGATGTATTGTACCAAATTATGTCCCTGATCCTTTAGAAAGGCTACCCAGAGAAGCAGAATGAAAATGCATTTTATCAGACTTCGGAAGTGTGTATCCTCTCTGCACTTGCATCCCAAGATTCAATCATCATGCTGCTTATAAATTGTAATATTTCATATCTAACCAATACTGTAGTGATTATCTTCTTTCTTAGCCCCAAGATACATAAACATTTATAAATAGGTTGAACAGTTACTCTGCAGCGCAAAGGCATCAGTGCTGAACTCTGAAATATACAGCACTGCCAATCCAATTTTAACTAAGCAATTAATAGTCGTACATAGAAATCATGTCTGCCTGAGCTACTCTGCAAAGATGACCTGAGCAACCCCTTGAAGTGAGCTTGAAGATTAAAAAGGTATTTGTAAATCCATCCCAATGACTTGAAGCACTCCTCCAGCCTCAAAGTATGACCCACTGGGTTATTTCAATCTACTAATCAGCTTAAAACTGTCAAGTGTCATTACAAGAATTTAGAACATGACAACGCCAGAGTTTAAGTTTATTCTACTAGGTCAAAGAATAACAATAAGACATTAGCCTTTGCTTTGTAAGTGATCCCACTGGTCTGTGATGGAAGACTCTGTCAAGAATCTGAAATGGCTTCTGTGCACTTGGTCTTTTGTACCTAATGCTACAAATGCCACTGGATTGTTATCACTCAAGGGACAATCCTAACCAAGAATAGTAAAACTCATTTGCCTGTGCATCTTAGAATAAATAAACTTCAATGCAGGGGTGGGCAACTTGTGGCCCTGCAAATGTTTTGGCTTACAGTTTCCAACAGCCTTTTCATTAGCTCTGCTGGCTAGGACTGATGGGAGTTACAAGCTAGAATGTCTTGTATAAAATCTCATTGGCACTAAATATGGCTTTACCACCAAGTGAACCTAGGAGGAAGCCATCACCAGTTTTAGCATTTTGGTAAAGATACCTGTTTCATGACCTGATAGCCACTCCTCAAGCTATTTGTGTTTGCCAGTTAGGAGGACAGCAGAGCAAATCCCAGTAATAGCTACTCATGGTTACCGTTTGTCTTGGTAGTGCTATTCAAAAAGCCAATACTATTGTTTTGGAATTAAGCTTACGTAAACATTACCTCTTGTGCTACATGTGCACTTGTGCAAATCATTAATACTTCAAAAGGAGAAGGAAAGAGAATGTTAAGCACTATAACTGTTGCTTAGCTAAAATGTTACTCTGGAAGCCCTCTGAACCTTTCTCTGACAAAAGCTTATGCTCAGACATTTTTGCATTACCTTTTCATAGAATTTCTATTTTCTACTGCTTTCAAGTGCACATGTTTTAAAAAGTATCATTTGAAATGCCATACCAAAATTCAGGAATACACTTCCTCTCACATGCACACTGTCAAATACTCAAGGCCAATATAGCAGAATTTAAGTTTAATAATAAATGAATAAATATCCTCACATTGTGGATCACCCTCTCAGCATGTCAGATGTTACATGCTTCCTGAAACTTTCAGCACTGCTGAAAAGTGTATTGCAGCTGCTGGTTGTGTAAACCACATAGAACACAGAAATAATTGTCTTTATATAAAAATCATAAGACCTAATGTTTGCTTGGCGCTTTAATGTGGCTGAATACAGTCCATGCACTTCATATGTGCAGAACGTTTTCCATGTATTATGCAATTTTTATAGTGAATCTGTGTGTCCCCCACCCACCCTCCCACCCCGTGCATCAAATATTGTTGATGGAGAGAGAGGCTGAAAGACAGTGGCTTGCTTGTTTACGACAATCTAGTGCAGCTTTCCCCAGCTTGGTGCAGTTTATATGTTGGCTATAATTCCAGTCACCTTCATCTTTGCTTGTTAGTTGTTCAGGCTGATAGAGGTTGTGGTCCAGTACACCTGGAGAAGGCTGATCTAGTGAAACAGAAATGAGATCTGGATCAGTGAGTTCTTAGCTGCTGTGTTACACCAGCTCTCAGTCACTAATTACGTTTTAATAAAATGGGCCCCGAGTATGGTCTGAAAGCACTTAAGGCATCCACCATGTTGAAGCTAAGCGGGTCTGGGGCTGGTCTGAGTGTGGAGGGGAGACCACCTGGGAACCACATGTAGGTACCTTGAGTTCCACAATGGGAGAAAGGTGGGATAGAAATATAATAAATTAATTAAATACCTGGCGCACACATCACAACAACCCATGTTTAACAGGACAAGTGACCATGAGCATGCATGCTGGTTCCCCCACATGTGCCTGCTCCCACTGCAATAAACAACCTTGGACATTTAATTTCTGGGATGTTTATTGTGATGTTCTAACCTGGAATTCTGAGTTTTGGGAGAATGAACCACCCAGACTTTCAGTGTGGTTTCACCATGCATACTGGATCAGAATGATGAGGCATTCACTCACACCAGTTCAGGGACTTCAAAGTGTGACAACAGAGTACAGCAAGAGACTGAGATCTGCAGCTGTTTCAAACAATGTACTCTGAATTCTTTTGCTGCAAGACAGATATTTCAGAAACCATAATGTCTCACTGAAACATGTAATAAAACCAAGTCTGCAAGCTTAAGCATAGTTACTTGAATGTGAGTTTCCCCGAAATCAATGTGACTTTTAAAGAAAATATGTTCAGGAGCAAGGTATCAGTAATTCGCTTTGTGCAACTACTGGCTTATGTGAACTGCAGCTGAAATAGTATCTGAACATTATGTATGAACGCATTCTCTCTTTCTCCTTTTTCCCCAGACTGTACTCCGTCCTCTTCAAGCCCTGTGCTCTTTCCAACTTCAGCATGGTGCCCAAGTCCATCACAGCAAGGAGCATCTTCTTAAAAATGGTTTATATGACAAGCCAATGCCAAAAAATAAACGCAAGCTCAGGAGAATGGAACTTTTAGTGAATAATTTTAAAATTTAGCAATGCCATATAGATTTAGTATTAAAGACCTTTATTCCTTTTAGCTAATGAAGTGGTTGTTGATCCAAATAACCATCTCTTATAATGGATTAAGCTCCAATGGCAGGGTGCCTAGGAGTTCAAGAATAATTCAAAAATAGAATGCTTGGATCTTTGAATTATATCAGGGATAAACAAAAGGCATTGTCTCCTCACCCCCCCATTTAATATGCAGTCTGATTTCTTTGATTTTTGTTGTGGGAAATGTTTGGCATAAGGAACATAAATTTTATAATTGAATGATGAGGATTCAGTAATTTAGAGCAATCAAAAATCCCGTTCAAGCATTTTGTTTTGATTTGTTGGAAAAATAGAAATGAAAGCATTGTTTGAACATTTTTCCTTTAATTTCTTATTTTGAGCTAGCTTAACAGATGTATAATGTAAGTCTTCATGTTGAGAACAGAAGAAGACTGATTCCAGTAAGAGCATGCTAGTAAGACTGAGTACAAGAAAGGAGGTTTTGTCCTGAACAGAGCTCAGCCAAGAGTCATTAAACCGCACAGCGGTACACGTATTTCATTTGATATTGTAAAGATATATATTGAGAGGGGAGTTGTGCATCTCCAAATGCATGGTGTATATGAGCCAGGGATCTGAGCCAATCACGTCTGCCCGGCACACATCCACTATGCATCCTTGGGTATGTAGGAACTTGTTTTCTTTTATACTGTACTCCTGCAAAACAGTAGTGTACCAAAATAGTGACTCTAGATTAACACTAGCTTCAGGAAGTTTTAATGTGTAAGAAAAAAATGAAGACATACTGTATTTGTTCTATTTTCAGCAACGATGGTGGAAATATAAATGTCATCCCAAAAAAAACCTAGTGGAGCTAATGGGCAGTATTGTGATGGAGAGGGGGGAGGGAGGTGGGAAGATGCAAAGGAAGACACAGACATTAAAACTTGGGTAGAACTAGGGCCTCTTCATCTAACTCTGTTGGACTCACCACCCTGGGATCTGCAAGGGCCAAGTGCAGAAATCTGATGACTGTTTTAGAGGCAACTGGCATATCTGTTGGGTAATTTATTCCAGTGGTTTTCAACCTTTCCACAGTGGAGGACCGGCAGAAACAGGAAAGCCACTTCAGGAACTGCTGAGGCAGAAACAAAAAACACCATGCATATAATACAGTATTCTATGTATTAGTTTTCAAACACATTACCAAAAAAAAGTGAAAATTCTCCAAAACAACCAGAAACTGAGCAACAAAAAATACCAACAAAACAGCAAAATACCAAAATGGGGGCAGCATGGCTCTCAGTGAGCTCCCATCAAACCATTTCTCCCCTCCCTGCCTGCCTCTGGTGGCACTAGTGCACCTCCCACCAACCAAGGAAGAGGTGGTGGAGCACAGCCAGCCCCTGCCCCAGTCTGCAGCGATTGGGATCCCCCCCCCCCCGCCGCCCCATGGACCAGCAGTTGAAAACCACTGATTTACTCTGCCAGGAAAGAAGGTGGGCTAAATACCTGCTCCTTTTCCTATGCTAAATGTGAATGCAAGAAGGAACCTTCCTGCAGAACTCCTGCTTGGTGCTGCATAACTCTGAGTAGGTGAGACAGTTTGGTTGGAAAAGCAAACCCATGTGTACCAGGTCTCCGGACTTGCCCATCACCATAAACATGCCTTTGAGTGCCCACCACACCTATTCCCTGACAGCTCCTGGGCATCCCCATCACAGGAGGAAACCAAACCTCTGCTTTGGTCTCTGTCCGCCCCCCCCCCCCCACACACACACCTGCCCAGGGTGAAAATCCTGCAGCCCCATAAACATCCCAGAGAGATGGCATTCACCTGTCTGATTAAAATAATGGCATCAGCCCTATACAGTTCCACCCCTGGATGGAATAATTTCAGGCTGAGGCAGCATTCTTCCCTGCCTGTTCTGGAGAACTGAACTAATTTCCCTATTAACTTTTTCCCATTCCTATTTAGTCTACAAGGGTCCCCACCCGCCTTCCACAACCTCCATTGGAGCATATTAGACTATGGGATCCAGGTATTCAGCTATCTAAACGGCCTCAAAATCTGTCCTTGCCTGGTATATATGTGTTTTCCCCTTCAGATATGGAAGGATCTTCCCCTCTATGACATTTCCTCCCACCCAATGAAGCACCAACACCTGGGGCTGAAAGCATTATGGCCTCAGCCACCTCACTTCTCCAAGATCACATATCACAGCAGGCATTGAATCCACATGCAGACTGGCCATAAGGGCCAGCTCTAGAAATCTGAACAGCTGGTTCCACAACAGGCACTGGCAATTCTGTTATCCAGATCAGGGATGTGGCATACAGGAAAAAGAAGAAGATTAAAGATGTTGGAGATTCCTACCCCAAATTCAAATGGCCACTACAACATGGAAAAATTTGAGAAAAAGCAAGTATTGCAGGATGCCCAGCTTTCTCTAACACCTTGGCCAAGGTTCACTACACCAATAGTTCTTGAATAATACTCCAAAACCATCCTGAGGTATCTAAGTGAACCTGCAGCTCAGCCTTGAGAAGCAGATTCTGCCTTCAGAAGGAAGTCCATGAGTCCAAATTCCTGACAAGCAGGCCAAGTGTTTGCACAGTGCCAACATGGAATTGAGCCATGCATGGATGCTGTGTAAACATCATTCTTCATCTACAACAGTGTGTGTGTGACTTAGAGCATTTGTTTGTGCTGCTTGTGATGCAGAAGAAGGTTGTTGGTTGCACAAGCAGAGTTCCGTAAGCTTTTGCAGACTTGCTTTCAGCTCAGTTTACATTCTAAGATGGGGCCAAGCATGAGAGGAAATCTACAAACTGAAGAGAGACAGATTCTGCGGAGCTGCATCCCAATACTAGTTAAGACTGCACACTTACAAACTAGATCTGCTTGAACCATCCCCATGAAAGTTAGAAAATGTGCAAGCCAGTTGGCCCATGTCCTCTCAACCTTCTTATGCTAACCCCTGTCCATCTCATTGCTCTTCTTCTCCAATTCAACGAACCTTCAACATTGAAATGAGTAAGTTGTTGGGTCCAGAGTTCTATTACCTCACTCCTTCAGCTGCAGTTAGAAAGTATGAAACAATGGGAATTTTGATTTAATACAGCAAACCTCAGTTCCATGGGTTTTGCAGTTTTTCCTATGACTTTCTGAGCAGATTTGGACAGTTCCACAGTTGGCAGTGCAATTTTTTTATACTCATCTTGTTGGATCATGGCCATTATCTTCGCTGAAAATTGCTTTAACAACACTACGCATATATCAGAAGTTGGATTATTAATGTCTTTTTTGTAGAATGGAATTCTATAAACCATGTTAATGGATATTGTAGCAGGAAGTGAATACGTGATTCAAGTAGAAAAAGAATGTTCTATGTCAGTACTATTGTCTAGATAAAGATAAATTGTGTATTTTGTCTAGACAAAGAAATGAAATCAGTAGTATTGAGAATATATGTAAGTTGCAAGTAAAAACTGTTAACACTCACATAGAACATTCTTACTGTAGATGTACTCTGACTGAAGAAATTGTTCCTGTGAGTTAGGCTTCAAGCATATACAGTAAATCAAGGAAATTCTTCCTTTGATAGAGTATGCCTCATTTCAGATGTATTGATGCAGCAGTATATCCCTATTTTGTTATTATGAAGGTTATGATCACTGTTATGAAGACTAATAAAATTATGTAATACCATTATTCTTTAAATTTTAAAGAAGAAAGGAAAAGTTAGTGCCCCAATTCACAAATCATTGAAAATAAGTATTAATAAACAGTTTTTCATTTATAAACCTACGTGCATTTTTATTGAAAATTAATGTTTTGTATTCATAAAAGATATCTTTTTGGCACCTTTTGTATGTTGTCTTAATACAAAAGAGTTGTTCTACTTTTTGAACATTACACAGCATAACACAGCTGGCTATAGAATCGGACTCGACCTTATCAATGGCACCTTCTCAAGCTGGGTAGAGGTAACAAGTGGGTACCAGCGGGTTCAGTCTGAGCGAATGCTCTCCAACTTTTTTCTTAGTAGTTTTGTTGAGGAAGTACAGGGAACAATTATCATATTTGCAGATGACACAAAAGTGGGTGGGATAACTAATACCCTGAAAGGCAGAAAGAAGATTCAAGGCGATCTTGATGGGTTGGAACGCTGGGCTGAAAACAACAGAATGAATTTCAATAGGGACAAATACCAAGTTTTGCATCAAGGAAAAGGAAACCAAATGCATATTTAAAAGATGGGGAATACTTAGCTCAACAAGTGAGACGGATTTTGCAATTGTCGATCACATGTTGAACATGAGTCAACAATGTGATGTGGCTGCACAAAGAGCAAATGCGTTTTAAACTACATTAATAGAAGTATCATGTGCAGTACTAGTTCCCCTTTACTCATCATGCATTAGTCCTCATCTGGAGTGCTGTGTCCAGCCCTTGACACCACAGTTTAAGAAAGATGCACACATGGAAAAAGTTCAGAGAAAGGCAACAAGGATTATCCAGGGAGTAGAAACACAGCCCATTGAGGGGAGATGGAAAGAACTGGGCACATTTAGCCTCTACAAGATGGGGGGGAAATATGATAGCACTCTACAAGTACTTGAAAGGATGTCTTGAAAGAAAGAGGAAGGACATGGAATAACAAACTCAGGTTACAGGAACCTAGATTCCAGCTGCATATCAGGAAAAATGTCTTGACTGTCATTGAAACCAATGACCCAGGGAATTTGTGGGCTTTTACACACTCGAGGGATTCAGGATACAATCAGACTGCTCTCTGAAATGAATGGTTTAAGTTGGTGTCCTGCCATGAGCAGTAGGTTGCAGCTGATGGCCCTCTGGCCTCTTCCCACTCTACTATGATTCTACAAATATGTAATAAGCATATTTGGAATCTCAATATTTTCATTTTGGTGAGTACTATAACAGTGATACTGATCTCTTTGCCATGTACCATATACTGTAGTTAGATCTTTTTTTTTTCACCCTATCTCAAACTCTAATGAATTCTGAATTCTGCTAATTCAGTCTTTTATGTCTACTTGATATTGCTAACTTGTTACCAGTGTTTTTTTTGTTAAAAAAAAAAAGGTGCCGGAACTCACATCTTGGGGCCACACTTTTACACAATGGTCACTGCCGGCAGTAAGCACTCAGTGTGCAACCACATGACCGATCCCAAGCTGAGCAGCATCCCAAGCTGAGCAGTGCCCTCACAATCAGCACCAACAATCAGTGCCGACACACAAGCAGCCCGCAGGCACTATGTTAATGATTTTTGCTGCTGATCTGCTACACCCAACAGGGCAATTCACAATCACTTGGAAAAATCCATCGAAAAATGGTCCTGGAACACCGTTCCAGTAAATTCTATGACAAAAAAAGCCCTGCTTGTTACAATGTTTAGTGTATATGATACATACTATTTTCATTTTTTTTCCTCTGGTTGACAATACTTTAAAATCTACTGAAAAGATCTACATCTTCACATCACATGCTTTTTAGTTCTCTCTTTTTGATCCCAGTTACTTCAACCTATAAGTTTCAACAGGAAAGAATTTGATTAGTTCCACAAATGAGACAACAGCAATTCTGGTTAAAACGGTTGAAATCTGATTATCCGTACTATTTCAAAACCATGGTCAACAATGAAGCATGTGTCACTTTATTAACATTTCCATCATAATATAGGTAGGTTTGGCTTGACTTGGCTTTTCCCCTAAGAGCTGTATTCCCCCATTACTAGCCTGCAGAACTACTAAAGTTTTGGATCTTTAAAGTCTTGAACAGTTTGGGACAGGTACCTGAAGGGCTGCCCACATCCTCATCTCTGGCACTCCTACCCATAAGAACTGTCTATGCACCTTTCATTCATGTCCTTCAAGGATAATTTTGAAGTGCTTTTGTTCTTCATGGTACATGCCCCCCACCCATATTTTAAGTGATGGGCCATGAGGACAATACACTAGCAGAGTCCATAGGTATTTGTCTTTTCAGCTCTGAAGTTTTCTGGGGTAAGGAACTGGTTCATAAAATGTTTTCACTTCGAACTGTTGGGCTTGGCCCAGAGAGAGCTGGGTTCAGATGGCTTCACAGCCATGGAATTCATTGGGTGACCTTGGCCCATTCTTTCTCCTCCCTCTCAGGGTCACTTTGGGGATAAAAGTCTCGCTTTGTGGATCAGGCCTCCTTTAAGGAAGGGCAGAATTTTAAAATGGAATAGACCATTTTGATTATTGATGGTGTATCACTGATAATTGAAAAAATTTAGCTATAGGTAACAAGAGGTGATTTGTCTTTTGATGGTACACACCTGCCTTGAATCCAACTTTCTGCTGGATTCCAACTTGGCTTTTTTAAATGCCTTTATTTTCACT